ATTTAGTTTTCTCTGTTTTTGTATTTTATGTAAGTGAAATAATGCATATATAATGTTTGTGATGAGAGTGTGATCTCTGCTGTAGGTAACTAAATTATGGTCTGAGGAGAGACTTTACTAGGTATTGCTTAGGTTTGCTATCATTTGGCACAGAGTTTTCTACTGCCCCAAGAATTCACTTCGTTTTCATTATTCAAAGTTGTTTCCCTCATTGCCATGCCAATTTCCACCCTTTCTTCTAGTTTCAGACCACCAATTATTGGCACCTCTCTGAAGTTTCTTTAGATTCCAGATGATGACTTACATCTTCTTTTTTTTTAATGTTTCCACTCTACTTTGTCCAGTTTCTGTTATGATGTTATTGTAGTTGCTTCTATGTGTTTCTCCTCACTAGACTCTAAGGTGTTTGAAGACTTGGCCCTGACTTCATGTTTGTCTTCTTAGCATAGTGCTGTTTGCCATATAGTAAGTGCTCAGTAAGTATTATTAAAAAATTGGTATAGTAGGAGATAGGAAAGAGGTATTGTCATTGTATGGAAAAAGTTGTCCTTGAGGGACAGTTGGGATTTGAGTAAACAAAGAAGAGAGCATTCCTGGTGAGAGCGGAGCACCAGCAAAGGGATAGGGACAGGAATGAGTACAGTATGTGTGATACTTGTGACAAGTAAAGATAAGTAAGAGGAGTGAGACAAGTGAAGGTACTTGTCTGATTGGAACATGCTTGTTTACTTTTGCATTCATTACATATTTACTTTGTATCTACCGTATGAAAGCACTCGTTTAGAAGATTTAAGAGGATACACAGATTTCTAAAATCTGGTCCTTTGGGAGAATAGTATGAAGTAAGATTAGAAAAATAAAGAGGAGTGGCATTTTAGAAAGTGCTGAAAGGCAGGTATAAGATGTGGGGTTTGATATGGTTAATAGGAGGTGGCAAGTGAATGATCTGTTGGAAGCTGTATTTCCTTGATATTTTTGGAGGGAGGTATATAATGTGAATTGGGGAAGAGAATTATGGAAAATTATAATAATTGAGCCTTGGAGGGATGAGGTCACATTAGAGCTGAGACCTGTAAGACAGCTAGGCCCTGGCTAAATGGACAAACTGGAGAAGAATGTTCAAGACAAGAGAGAGAAGAGTATCGAGAGCTCCAAACAATTGTAGCATAAAGTTAGATGGAGAGATTAATGGGCGAAGAGGCTGGACAAGGAAGCGTAGATTAAGTTTGTGATTTCCAAACCTGAACATGTCAGAATGAACATTTCTGAGCTTTTGAGAAATAAACCTAGACCCGCAACCCCTTCCTACTAAATTAGAATACTTGCAAAGAGGTTGAGATTTCATCTTGCAGGTGATAAGGAACTACTGAAGATTTTTTAAAGGGGACTGACTTTATATTCCATTTTAGACCACTCTTGGTATTGCAGTAGATGGACTGGAAGCAAAGGATTAGAGGCAAGGAGGCATATTCTCAGACTATTATAACAGTATAGATAAATTATAATAAGACCTGAACTAGGACAGAGGATATGGGATTAATGAAAAGGAATCATAAGTGAAAGCGAGTATGATGGTGTTGAGGCAGACAGGAATCCTAGCTGACTTCAGATATTTGTTTTTAGATAACTTGTGTGGATGTTGGGGTAGCTTACTGAGCTAGGCACAGCAGGAGAGGTGATATGCTTGGGGAGGTAGCAGGGAAAATGATGAGTTTAGTTTGGGACATGTTGGACTTTTCCGAGTTTTCCCACTTCATTTAATGGTTACTCTGGGTACTTAGATCAATGTGTTTGACTTTATTCTGACTCTTCTTTTTCTCATACTTCACATCCAATCTGCTAGCAAATTTTGTCCATTTACCTTCAAAACATGTCCAGAAATTTACCAGTTATCATTACCTTCAGAGCTGCTACTCTGGTCCTAGCCACTATCATCTCTCAATTATTACAGTAGCTTCTTAACTGATCTCCCTGCTTCTGCTCGTCTTCTTGTCTGTTCTCAACCCAGTGTCTGTCTGAAGGATCTTTTTAATAATGAGGTCATCCCTCTGCATAAAACCTTTCTTTTGGAGTAAAAGTCAAAAGTTTGTATAAAGGGTCTATACAGCCCCCTTCTCTTACCTCCCTGTCCTCATCTTTTACTTCTTCCTCTTGCTCACTTGACTCCAGCCACACTGGCCTCCTTGCTGATCCTTGAACTAGTCAGGCACACTCCCTCTTGAGGGTCTTAACTTTTCTGTTTCCTTTGACTAGAAGGCCCTTCCCCCAGGCATTAGCACAGCTTACTCTCTACTTCTTTCAGGTCTTTACTCATGTATCACTTTTTTAATGA